GAAGGGATTGAGGCGTGACCATCCCCCCTGGGGGGTGATTTCTTGCTTTCTGTCTCTTATGTCTCTCTCTGTCTGTCTGGTGAGCGCACATGCCCTATAGCAAAAACCTCTCCAAAAAAAAAGTCCCCTACAATAACCCAGGGCACACAAAGTCCCCTACAAACGCTCAGTAACCCAGTACACACAAAGTCCCCTACAAACGCTCACTCCAGCAGCGATCTTTGCTCTCACCGTCAGCGCCGTCTGTCAGGCACTGTCAGGCTCTCCCAACACTATTCATTACTCACATCTGTTCTTTTAATTGGCATCAATGTCCTCATTTTTAAAATCAAAGTAACTCAGGCCCAGGGTAGCTAAATAATTTAACATCATGTAGCTTAGAAGGGATGGAATTTAACTCAGGCCTGGGGACCTGCAGTTGCCGTAATGACTATGTCACTGGACCCCCATGTAGCTGACCGTGGGTCGAGTCCCAGACCCGGTGGCTTAAACTCATGCTGGACGCATGTGCATGCATGCCCAAGATCCCAAGAGGAGAATGGAGAAGGGATTGCGGCATGGCTATCCCCCCTGGGGGGGTGATTTCTCGCTTTCTCTCTCTGTCCTTCTGGCGAGTGCATGAGCCCTATTGCAGAAAACCTCTCCAAAAAAATAAAATGAATTTAACTCAGACCTCAACGCTCAGAGACCCTGAGGACTAAGAAGGCCTGATCTCCTTCCCTCTTTTCCAAATGTTGAGATGTGCGTAAGCTCCTGGAGGGCTTACCCACACAGCCGATGGTCACCACCCCGTCCTTGTAGCGCTCCTGGGATGGGCCGCTTGGCTCCATCGCTGAATCGGTCTGCTGCTCCACCAGGACCGCCGGCCCATCCTCCTCTTCCTCCTCTTCCCCAGAGCCGTTACCCCAGGTGGCCCCGGCCACATCCCGAGCAATCTTCTCCCGCCAGCTGCTCAAGTCCACTGCTCCGAGAAAACAGAGATTCTCCTCAGGGCCACCGTATAAGATGGTACATCACACACAGCTACACCCTGCGTGGCTGACGCAATAAGCCCCCTCCCCAAGCTGCCAGCCCGCACATGGGCAGGCTAGAGTCTTACCAGCCTTCAGTCGCCCCTCCCTGAATCCCAGCCATTGCCCTGGGTTCCTGAGAGGTACTAAGAAGACTGAAGGCAGCAGACGGCAAAGACTTCCGCCTACCTGCTGCCTCTCATCCCAGCAAATCAGCCTGCTCCTTATCCCACCTTTCTCCCTCTCACATGCATCCATAATTCAGGGGTCGACTTCTATAAGGGGGTAAAGCGACTGCTGGCCTTGGGTCCCCCACCCCCGCCCTCTAAAACCACACGCTTACCTTTCCCGACTGTGATGGCTTCACAGGCTCTCAGCAGCTGCTCCGGCCCCAGGGCCCGAGTCCATCCTCTCCCCCTTCTCCGGCTCTTCTTCAACACTGGGATGGAGGGCGCAAAAGGGTCAGCACGCAGGACTATGCACCCTGTATCTCCGACTCACGGGGCCGAGGCCAGGCCCCCTGTCGAGAAGCCTCTCCATCCTCCCGCACGCTGCCCTCCCTCACGGTATACTCACCACTGCCGTGGTCCTGCGGGGTGCGAGGGTCCCGAGGGAATGAGGTGAAGAGGACGATGTGGAGCTGGGGATAGTGCTGGTGGAAATAATGCTTCCAGGCAACCACGAGGGCCGGCGGGGCCAGGTCCACCTTGTTCAGGACCAGCACCAGAGCCAGCCCGAGCTCTCCAGTCACGTACTCATAAAGTGCTGGTGGGAAATTCACAACCTGGGACAGGACAGGGAAGGGGACAGAGCAGTGGCAGGTCAACCAGAGTTCTCCGCCTCCACGCCCCACTCATCAGGCACCGCTCAGAGACAAGACCCTGGTGGGAGCAGACTCTGGGGTAAAAACAGGAAACCAGCCAAACTGAGCAAGGAAGACAGGGTTAGTAACGCCCGTGGGAAGGCCCAGGGAGCTTCCTACAGCTCAGTCAGAGACAACCGAAACACAGGTGAAGGGACACCTAGCACGCCGAGGGAAAAGCCTGGGACCAAGAACAAGGACAGGAACTGGGGTAAAAATTGGTATGTTTTCATGTGTACACAACTGTATGTGTGTACACAAGCACATATGCATGCAAGTACATGCACGTGTGCATGTCTGTGCTGAGCATGCGTGACAGAACAGGAGTGCATGTGACTGCGTCTGCCTGTACAGATGTGCACATGCACACGTGTTTGTGTGTACGTGTCTTTAAGGACCTCCAACCTAAATGTCCCCACAGATCTCCCTTTCTCCCCGGAGGACAACGGTGAAGTGGCAGAGGCAGGATTCACACAGGGCAGTCCAGCCGCAGGGTCTGCAGCCTTAACTACCACCCTAGCATCCCGGGGGCTGTGGAAACAGACAAGGAAGAGCATCTGTGCACTGGGCCGAAGGGGAAGGCCCGCTGCTCTCAGAGGTCTCCGGAATGCCGGAATGCCACGCAGGCTAGCTCTGGTGGGCGGGAAACCACACAGGTTTTCATCAAAGGAAGAAGAAAGAGGACAATCTGGTCGGGGAGGAATGACACACTGTAACCAGAGATGAATAAAAACACACCTCCCGACTGCAAACACCAACACAGGGTGGGAAGAAAGGAGGAAGGGGACCTCCCTCTGGCCCACCTCCTGCCTCTGACCTCTGCCCCACAGAACCTTCCTCTCGCCCGCCTCGCTCCCTTCCCCAGGACTCACCGGATGGCGGATATCGGTGATAAGCAGGACAATGTCAGACATCTCTAACACGCGCCACAGCTGCCTCCACGTCTGAAAAGACCAGATGAGTACAAGTGAACCTGAGCCCTGAGTCCCTCTCCAGCCCGACCCCAGAGCAATCTGTGCCCCATTCCCATCCCACTCCGCTGTCACCTCCAGGTTGTGCTCAAAGTAACTGAGTTTCTCCGAGGTGTACGCCCCGTGGATCTTCCCGAGGTACTCCTGGAAGCTGCGCTCCTCCTGGCTCATTAGCTGCTCCTTGGACATCTCATAGCTCCACGGAGGACGCCGGGGAAAGTCCAAGACTGGGCAACCAGGAAAAAGCCCACGTAAGTAGGACGACCCTTTCAGGATCCGAGAGTGGTCCCAGACCCCTCCTCAGAGGGTCTTACCCTCTCCGGGAAGGGAAGGACAGAACAGGCGTCGCCACTCACCGGAGCCGGGCTGGTAGACCTCCTGGATGTCCAGCTCCAGCACCTCGGCGCTGACCGGCCGGAGCACCTGCTCCCGGGCTGCCCTCTTCCTCCGCTCCACCTGTCCCGTTCAAAATGTAGCCGGTATCTGGGGAAACCGAGACCGCCGGTCCAGGGCAGCCCTGCGGCCCACACTCCAGCAGACAACTTGGGGAGCTGTCTCTCGAGCTACTCAAACCTCTGTCCAGCGGCCTTCCCCCAAGGCCCTCTTTCAGGAAATGTTTGGCCTCCCCTTTCTGAACGCAGAACCCACACTCTACAGCTCCTCTGGAAGGGAGCGCTACCGCGGCCCGGCCCCGGCTCCACCTTCCAGGCTGCAGCAGCGGCGGCCCGCTTCCCCGGCTCCGATCCCAGGCAGGCCGGGCGGCCGGGCCTCACCGATTCGGATCGTAGCCCCGCGGCCCCAGGCCCTGGGAGGGGTGCTGGTTTAG